TGATCATCATACCATAACTGTTAATTGCCTGGCTTCTGCTTTTGATTGTCTAGGTGTAAGGATTATGCATTTCTGCAGCTTTTGCAATTATAGGTCAATGACAGATGAGGGGCCTTGAGTGTCAGGCAGGATACTTAGAGGTGTCACCAAACTTGCTTTGGGGTATGTGTTTATCAATGGGGCACATTGACAGTAGCTCATAGCTCCAGACATACACTGAATGGTTCAGACATTTTTAACACCTTAGAGTGACATTGGATGCCTGCTTTAAGAAATGTGAGGATGTCACATGAAGAATATCCGCCCTATATTCAATGCACCTTTTACAGATTTCTTTTGAGATGCATATTGAGTCTTCTGTTTTCTTTAGCTGCTAGGTCAACTGAAATGCATATGCAGTTTCCTTGCCTTCACTGGCTCAGCCTGTCTTTAAAGGGCTTTCTTAGGTACACATGTGATGAGTGTATCAGGACTCTGCCAACAATTTTAACCACTTTTATTATCTTATGGCATGGGTCTGGTATTGGGTATCGCAAGCACTCCACTGTCTCAACACCTAATGGGTTGTAAGCCATTAGCAGAGTTTAATTTTCTTGTGCCAGTCTTGTTAGCACAACCCAGTCTTGCCCCAGCCACTATCCTGCATTTTTATGTAAGAGATGCTGTCCAAGCTTTCACAGTTTTCATATGCAGTACCATAATTGCTCTTAAGATCTCTGTGTGTTGCATGACTGAAAGCCATGGCAAGGAGAGCATCCAGCAGATCGTCATTGCCCCACCCCTGAATTCCTGGCCCCTTTAGGAGCCTGGCAGGTTGGGTGAAACAGCTCCATGGGACAGATTCAGATATCTTTGACACCCCTGTTTTAATCCCTTCTCAATGCTTCTCCATACATGTTGGGAGAGCAGCAACTTTAAATAAGATAAACTAACCGTCCCGCTGTTCCAAAATTGCATTTGCATTTTTACATGGGTTTCTCTGCCAGCTGCATTTTGGCTGATGATCTCTGCCCAGGCACTGCCTACCCCTTCTAATGCTCATGGCCAGGTCTGTTCACATCCATTCGAGTGCCACAGGGGCTAGAGCCATGGATGTGCCTCTGAAGTGGGCAAGCAGTGTTTTTTTTTATTCCCTTGCCATGACTGGGCATTGCCCTTTTCTCAAAACTTCCCTCCAATTTTTGCCCCGCTGCATGTCCTTAGAGGAGAATCTACTCCCTTCTTAGGGTGCTGATAACAGTCCACCCAGGGCTCTTTTAATAGAAGAGTCTCCTTGAATTACTTCTCCTCTGTAGCACAGGAGGGCAGAAGGGAAAGCAGATGTTTGCTGTGTGTCCTCAGGTCACAAGGGAGTCTGACATTGCCTCCACAGAGCAGGGCACACAAAAGCAGGCTGGAAAGGACTTGAAGAGAGTTCTCTGCTCTAGCAAAATGGCAACAGTGAGCCAAAGCCTGGGGCAGGCTGGGAAGTTAACTAGCAATTGCAATGGTTAACTAACATGCACCAATTACATAATTACATGAATTTGCACTAATTAGAAAAATTAGGATACGTTTAGGGGAAGTAACCGATTTGCTTAACACAGTGTCTTCCATCCAACAGCTCTACAAATGCAACAGGTGTTTCTCTGTGCTGCCAATGCTGAGGGTGGTAGCTGCAGCATACAGAGGAGAGGCTGAAAGAACTGGGTTTATTTAGTCTGGACAAGAGAAGACCGAGGGGGGATTGAATAGCAGCCTTCACCTCCCTGCAGGGGGAGGATGGAGCTGGACTCCATCCAAAGAGGATGGAGCTAGACTGTTCTCAGTGGAGGCAGATGACAGAACAAAGAGCAATGGACTCCACTGCAGCAAGAAAAACTGAGGTTGAATATTAGGAAAAACTTTCTCACTAGGAGGGTGGTGAAGTCCTCATTTTCTATGAGTCTGTTTCCACATAAAAGGCTAGCCCATCTCTAGCTTGTGGTCCTGAGCACCCAGGCCAACACCTTGGTTCCTCATTTTGCTGATAGGAGAAATAACCTGCTTACCGAGCAAACCAGGACTTGAACTAGGCTCTCAAGGAGGACACCTGTGATGGGCCAGCAGCAGGGATGATGCTCAAGGGCAACCAGCATAGTTTCATTAGGGGCAGGTCCTGTCAGACCAACCTGATTGCCTTCTACGATCAGGTCACAAAAGCATTGGACGCAGGTGGCGCCGTGGATGTAGTCTTTCTGGACTTTAGCAAGGCCTTTGACGCTGTCTCCCACCCCATCCTCATCAAAAACTAGGTGACTGTGGCATTGATGCCTACACAGTCAGATGGATTGCAAATTGGCTGAAGGGTTATACTCAGAGGGTAGTGGTGGACGGGTCTTTTTCAACCTGTAGGGATATGGGCAGTGGAGTACCCCAGGACTTGGTCCTTGGGCCCGTACTGTTCTATTCTTTATTAGTGACTTGGACGACAGGGTAAAAAGCAGCCTGTTTAAATTTTCTGATGATACCAAGATTTGGGGTGAGGTGGGCACGGTAGTAGGGAAGGACAGATTACAGCAGGACTTGGACAAGTTACAGGGGTGGGCTAATGAAAATAGGATGGGATTCAATACTAACAAGTGCAGGGTGCTGCACTTAGGCAGCGGGAACCAGCAGCACACTTATAAGCTAGGAAACTCCCTTCATTATTGACTCCAAGATGAACATGGGCCGACAGTGTGGGGACGCAGTCAGGAAGGCCAACCACACCTTATTGTGCATCCACAGATGCATCTCAAGTAGGTCCAAGGAGGTGATCCTCCCCCTCTATGCAGCACTGGTCAGGCCACAGCTGGAGTACTGCATCCAGTTCTGGGCACTGCACTTCAGGAGGGATGTGGAGAGCATGGAGAGGGTCCAGATGAGTGCCACCTGCATGATCCA